CAAGCCAGGCCTGTCTCGCCCGGCACTCCCGTACGCTCCCAGGAATGTTCGCTGGTTTTCCGAGACGAGCGATCCTTCCTGTGTCACAGAACACTTGCACACGCCTTCGTTTTTGGAATTAAAATGTTTACAGTTATTGCTGTGTCCGGTTGTTTTCAATTCTGTTGTAGCCTTTATCGTGAGAATGACATTTGGGAAAATCCTGGGACTTTTCCAGCTGAAGACTCCCCACTGGGTAAAGCAGAAACCCAGCTCCTTGTGGACACAGGGAGGGCGAGGGGGTCCATGAAGAATATCAGCACTGACCTGTGGTCCATCCCTTCTGGAAAGGCAAGAGTTAGAAAGTCATTTTGGAGGCAGGTCTACAAGTTTCTTCAAGGAATCTAGGATTTGGAAGTGTGGGGAGTCGGGGGGCAAGGCATGGTGGAGAATTTCCTTCCCCCTGGAAGTAGATGGTCATACTTTTTCTTGTTTCAAAACAAGTGGGGCACCTGGGTGGCTCAATCAGCTAAGTGGCCGACTTCAGCTCAGACCATGATCTCACAGTCTGTGAGTTCGAGCCCTGTGTCAGGCTCGGTGCTGACAGCTCAGAGCCTGGAGCCTGCTTCAGATTCTGCGTCTTCCTCTCTCTCTACCCCTCCCTACTCAAGCTCTGTCTCTCTCTGTCTCAAAAATAAATAAAAACATTAAAAAATTTTTAAAAAACCTAAAAAAAACCCCTACCAATTAATAATGATAGGTGGGCTCTAGAATCAGAGGCACAGTACACTGTTCTCAAATCACTGATCCCTGGAGATACGATGTTGGTTACGACTGATTTCAATGCAGGTGTTTGTCTAATGAGAGGCTGATAGAACCCTACTGCAGTGCTTGACACTGGCCAAACCAAACTTGGCTGGCAGTCCCTGACAACCTCTTGGGCAACTTTACGGCCAAGCCCTCAGGACTAAATGCCTGGCCCCAAGCTGTGAGCATGGCCTCCCCACAAGGGCATCTCCACGAATTCTGTAAGAAAAATAACACATGCCTGGCAGCACTTAGCCTGATGTAAGCTGACCACCCCAAGGGCACCCAGAAACAAGCCATCGTGTTCCACAGAACATGAATCTCCTGGGGCGCCTGGGTGACTCAATCGGTTATGTGTCCAACTTTGGCTCAGGTCATGATCTCACAACTTGTGAGTGTGAGCCCCACATCGGGCTCTGTGCTCCAGCTTGGAGCCTGGAGCCTGCTTCAGCTTCTGTGTCTCCCCCTCTCTCTCTGCCCTTCCTCCACACGCATTCTCTCTCAAAAACAAATAAACATAAAAAAAAAAAAAAAAAGGAAGCGAACCTTCTGGAAGAGCTGGAAAACCAATGGGTAGAGACACGTCAATGTAATGAGAACCCAAAGTGCCCCGGCTGCTCCTGCCTGTCGCTCCACTGGTGGTTCTCCAGCAGCTTCTATAGCTAACCATGGACTCACCTGCTTGTCCTGGTTCCCAGTGCAGAGGAAGCACAGAAGGTCAGTTATGGTTTGTCAACAATAGTGAAGGCCAAAGTCCTCAGATCCAAATGCAAGTGTGCATTGTCGGAGAGAGTAAAATCATCTTGGGTGTGCAGGCCAGGAGTGTGTATACACACACACACTCGCGTGCGCAGACGTGTGTGCCCAAGAGAAAGACGGGGCTGGCCTCCCCGCAGGGCTCTGCGCACCGGTCGGCAACGCAGCCGCACTTTTTCTCTACGTTGTGGTTAATGACCTTTCCGTTGACGCACAGGCCTGTTAATCTGATCTGCAGCCAGGCGGCTATTCATCAGAGTATTCCCTGCAAAGCACCAGATTGGCCCCCGTTTAAAAAGGTGATACTCCTCAGGTGACATCTCCGGCTGGAGTTACTGAAATGCACTGCCAGCAGATGACCAAAGGGTTCTTTTTTGCATTTGGACACTGCATGAATGGTTTCTCCTCTGAAGGAGATATAAAAGCTGTAGTGAGTGCTTGGTTTGATACAAATTCATGGGGCTAAACTGGCATTATTGATTCTAAATTTTTCACTCTGTGCTGAAGCCATCTGTCTGGCAAGTCGTTTCCTAAAATCACTCGATGCCCCAGCTTCTCCTTACCCATAAAGTATCTGATGCAGCCCGTGTCCTCAGCCTGTCTTGGGCCTCGTCTGTTGTCCAGAGGTTTTGTCCAAGTCATCACGCTCCGGGGACACAGCATCTGCCATCAGTACGTATGTGTGCACATGTGCACACCACGGGCGCGTGCATCTTCCCAGACGTGACCTTCACGAAACTACAAGACAGGAAGATACAGAGGGGAAAGGGCCGTTCTACCTTTTCTGGGCCACCGTTGCCCACCCTTGATGACTTGAGGGCTGGGAATGGAGTGGCCCCTGAACTTGCAACTGCACTGGCAGCTGTGACAGTCAGATTATAGCCCATGAATTTGAAAGACTTGTCCATCCTTGCACATGCACATCTTCAGAGGGGAGGAATAAAAGTTTTTTTTAAAAAAATGTGTGGTTAAGCGGCTGGTGGTGCAGTCTGCTCCGGGGAAGGGGAAAGAAGGTTCAGTAAACTCATCCTACAAGTTGGTTCTGCTCTGTCCCACCCAACCATGTTATTCCAGCTGACACTTCACACAAGCAGTATGTGTGTCCAGTTCGTGCTTTTCAAAGTGAATTCTTCCTCCAAGTCTGGCCTTAGACCCCAACTATCTGTTAGGTGTCTGGCTTTGAAGAGTAGGCATTTCAAACTCAGATCTAAAGGGGAGCTCCTGACATCAGCCTGTCCCTGCCACCACACCCCTTCCTCTCCAAGCGCTTCATCTCAGGGTAGCGGCACCGGGACGGACAGATTTGCGCTCCCAGCTTCTGCTCTGGTCCCGGCCTGTGCTCAGTAGGTGGGCCTCGAGCGGTGTTCTGCCTCAGCGTTTCTTCCTCTTTTAAACCTCGGAATGCGCTTTCTACAGGCTGTGCATGTTCGATCCTGAGTTACAGTCACTTGTGAAGTCATCTGATCTGATACCACAGACTGGGGGGCTGGGCCAAACACTTGTTTCTTATGGTCGTGGAGGCTGGGAGGCCCATGATCAAGGCACCAGCAGATTCGGTGCCTGGTGAGGGCCTGCTTCCTGGTTCACAGACAACCTTCTCACTGTGTCCCTGCAAGGCGGACAGGAGAGCCCTCCACGATCTCTTATAAGGGTGTTAATCTCACTCACGAGAGCCCCATCTCCTAGCGCCATCATGCTGGGACTCAGCTTTCAACATATGAACTTGTGGGGGACACATTCAGACCATCGCATTATCCTTTATTAGATTTAACTTCTTAAAACACAGGGATGGCTTCTGATACCCTCATACGTGCTCCTGATCATTCTGACAAAGTGATCCGGTAATTATTTAAGGACCCTGAAAGAGCCGACACTAAATGCCCTTCCAGTTTATAGCTGCTCCAGTTTATCATGGCCAAGTGTCAGCTCTGAGACCTGCGGGCACATGGTGCACAGAAAAGGACAGAAGCTTCAACAGGGACACGGTGGGAGGAGTGGAAAGAACATGGGTTTTGGGGCCACACAGACTTGGTTCAGACTCTGTATCTACCACCAAAGGCACGTTTCTTTACCATTAGAGATCCAGAAACCTGCATTCCCTTCTACATTTGGGGGCCGCCTCGAATCTGTTCCGCACACTGGGCACTATCACCCTCCACAGCACATCCCGTTTCAGCTCTCAGTGCCCTCAAACTAGCGATCTTACCTTCTTGCAAGAAATCTCATTAGCTTTCCTTCTAACTTTGGACAGAGTCCATGTGCTACACAGCCATGACTGAAAACAGAGCTCAGAAGGACAAGCAGCAGGGAAGAGAATGTCCCTTTGCACTTTGGGGGACAGGCCCTTCCCGCAGGGACAGGAAAGGCTCGTGGGACAGGCTCCCTCTGGCCAGGGAGGACCCGCTGCACCAGGCCTGGTGCTGGGCGGTTTTCAGGGGCATGTAGGTGACACTTTCCCAGCCTATTCCCTCTCTCAGTTTACCTGAGGCTGCGCAGGGATCCTCAGGACCGTGGGCCCTGGAGGGGAGCGGGTTTGAGGCAGGAGCCAGGCTCCCGGGGCTTTCGGAAGCCTCTGCTGCCTGAGTCAGGGGAGTGGCCGTCTGGACAGTCCTAAGTGTGGTGCTCCCTCAGGCCTGGCGAGCCTGGAGCAGGTCACACCCAGCCTGTCAGTCATCCTGAGCTCGGAAAGCCTGAACAACCCAACCGGGCACGAAACAGTGGGACAGAGACGCCCTCTTCCGCACTCTGGATCTGTAGTGAGAGATTAGTTCATCATCTGGTAGGCCTTTCAGACGCAGCCCCTCGAAGGCTCAGCACACCCAGACCCAGCTTCAGGAGGCTCCCCTGGGGAAACACCAAGGAAAGGATCCTGGCCGAAGAGCCAGTCCTGAGCTCCCGAATGCCGTCCCAGCTGAGGCGCGAGTGCTTCCTGCACCGTCCAGTGCGCCAGTGCCAGGACCCCTCACTCCGCACGCCCAGACTGGGCCCCTGTAACCCGGGCATGCCTGGCGGCCATGCCAGTTGGGTTTGGAGGGAAAGCTAGTTGCTAAAATATCCGGACGTTCACGGAGCTTCACCAGAAAGGACCTAAAAGCACCATTCTGTCACTGCAGCACCACCAGCCATCTAACCATCCGCTATGTTGTCCACAGCGGCCCTGCTACAGGCTGAAACTGACCTTCCTACATTACCCTCCACGGCCCCAGCTCCCGGCACCAGGCCCCACTAGGTGATCACAGACGGCTGGGGCCACCTTCCCTCCACGCTGCAGCTTCGCCTTCCTTGGACGATCCTTGTTGCCCCCTTATTCTGGAAGGGACGGGGCCTGCGACGGTTTAAGGGCACGTCTAAGTCGATGTGGCCAAAGTGGACGCTCTGACCTGAACCCACAGGCCCGAGTACGGAGTGCCGCCAGCGTCTCTGAGGACCTCCTCCCTCCCGCACGGGGCTCACGTGTCTGCGCCAACACATTTTTTACTTTATTAAGCAACAAGCAAAACAACGAGATGGGTGGGGAGGACCTAAACTGGCTTTTTCCTGAACTATTTTTACAAACCAAACAATCAGTGTTGCTTTGAGCCGCAGCTGCGCCCGGAGCAGGGTCTGGTTTCATGACGTGCAAAATTGATTAGGCAGCGCCCGCGGCTCTCATCCTTCCCCAGAACACGCCTCCAAACTTCAGTGGGGGCGAGTTCCATCAAATACTCCGAAAGCTGCTTCTCATTCCACAATTTGCCAAAATCATACGCACAACTGCAGGGGAAATAAACAGAACCCCCTTGGCATAAATACGCCGCGGCGGACTGTTGACCATGTAGCACCAGTCCGGCAGGAAGGCTCGTTGATCTTTTAAACATTTTATGGAGAACAGCTGTCAGGCTTTCTCTGGAAAAGCCCACAAGTCTTCGTAAGCCCCATGGCCTCCGCCCCGGACAGGCAGGGCCCCAAGGAGGCTCCGCTAGCCAGCACATCTCTTCAAGGGCACGACGCAGGGACACAAGCTGTCTTCACTGCCTGCCACTCTGCACACATGCCACGATATCCGGCAAAAGGTGGTTTCTGTTCTCCTTGGTGACCTGTAGGAGGAAGCAAGAGAGATGGCTTCAGAGTCCCTTCCTTCTGCTGCGCCCCACTGGGAGAGCCTGGGTATGGGAGGCAGGCTCTGCGACTTCGGGGGGAGCCCTGGCCAGAGGTACTGTAAAGACGGGACAGGCAAGGTCAAATGCCACCCCTGCTTCTGCAAAGTGACAGCTCAAACAGTGGAAGTGGGTTCTAACCACGAGGAGCCGTGAGTAGACCCCCGCGCGAGGCTCTGGGTCGATGTGAGTGCAGGTGAGATGCAGCCCCTGTGCAACCTGCCCTGAACCAGGAGACCTGCCTATGAGGAGCCCACCGAGAGCAGCCAAACCCGAATGCTGGAAGTCCCAGCGGTCAGTAATCTATGCGCCTCTCCACACAGAAAAGCGGAGTGTGGGGAGAGGCCCCTGACATCAGTCAACCCCCTGCCTGCAGGAGGGGAAGCTAGCTCCGGGCAGTACAGGGGTCACACTGAGCTCTCGGAGGTAGCTGGGGACACAGCAGGGGCCAGAACTCGGTCCCCGGGCTCAGGCTGCCTCCTCTGTAATTCCACCCTTCCACAAAGGGACCAGGAGTCCATTCACACTTTACCCAGTGATCTGTTTTCATTTTCCTTCCTTTTACTAGCACGGTCCTGACAAGTACAAACGGTGCGTTTAGACACACACCCCCCCCCCCCGCCCAGGGAGGGGGGTTGGGCGGTGGGCGGTCCCCCAAGTGGGGGCAGGGCCACCTCCTCAGCCATCACCGGTGTGTGCCTTCCTGCTTGGCCCCGACACGCACCCACTCAGCATCGATGGGGCGGCGATCAGAAACCGTGCAAGGTGATGGGGACACAGAGAGAGAGGACTCTGATAGGATCTTGACTCATGGAGCTGGCTGGGCAGAAGAGAGGGACAGACAAGGACAGTGCACACACTGGTGGTAAAGGGTCCAGGAAAGCAAGTCTGGAGAGGCACAGGGGAGCTGGGGCAGGGCGGGGGGGCGGGGGGGGGGAGAAAAGGCTTCCATGGGCTGGACTGGAATAAATTTTGACAAGTGCACATGGGAGAAGGTCACCCAGACAAAGACCCAAGCAAAGAATCATGGGAAGAGAATGTGAGTGCATCTGGAGAGCCCCAGGCTCAGTGCCAGCGGACCCGGAGACGGGCCTGACACCCGCCATGTCTAACAGACTGCCTGGCCAGACAGCAGGTGCCACAGGAACGTGTGATGAAGACGCACGGTGGGCTTCACCCCCCTGGTTCCCCAGCACCCGCTCCCCCTCCCCCTAGGAGCCTGTGACCTTCCTCTGGGAGTCTATACCGTCTAGGAAGCCAGCTCATGGTCAACGAGTTCAGGCTGCGCCTGGAGGCCCCCTGAGAACCTGAATCCTGAAAGAAGGGAGTCAAGCAGCAAACGGTGAGGCCACCGCCTCTAACACTAAGTCCAAGGATGCAGTGCCCTCGTCCTTGCTCTGTAGCTCTGGTCTTTGGTCCCCCAAGGGCCATCAGCTCGGCTCCAGCTTGTGGAGAAACTGCCACACAGCCTTGCAAGGCTTTTGTTGCTGTTCTTGCTGAAGTAAGCCCAAGTCTCCTTCCACTGTTTGCATCAAGGAAGTGTGCTGATGTGAATGGAGGAGGAAAGGGGGAGGCAGCGGTAGGAGCTCAGCAAGCCTGTCGGGGGCCCTCATAGCTCCACTGTGCTAGTGGAGAGGGGCCATTACATCCCTTTCCTCCTTCCAACTTCACCAGGAACTCCCCTAGGCTCTGCCCTCAGGGTCTGTGAGAGTGCGGATTCCAAGATGAGGGCCACTTGGGGCCACTTCCCCTAGAGATGTAAGATTTATAACACAGGAGACAAGCTGGGAGGGAGCGGCGCAATGGAAAGCGAGGCAAGGAGAGTGCAGGAGACATGGGCAGAGGGGGAGGCGAGGAAGGGACCACTTGGACCAGAGGGAAAGAATTAACGCCAGCTTTGCAAGGGTGAGAAAGGCCAAGGGGCAAGCCAGGCATTGCTCGCTCCAGACACTCCTGCCTGGACCATCTCTCAGACCCTGGGTTCTCCATCCGGCCATTAAAAGGAGCACCAGACGGTCATGGGCATTTGACTCTTCCAGTTGTGCAGGGGACAGTCCCACTGGTGCTCAGCCGTGAATGCAAGCTGCTGTGAGGAAAGCATGGGGGGGAAGGGAAAGCAGAAACCCATCTGCAGGGAGGCTGGGGCAGGAGGGAGGCTCGTCTCTGTAATCCCTGGCCTTCTGACCGGATGCTCAGGGGCCCGAGAAGGGAAGGCTGGGAAGGTGAGGACCCCCAAGCCCCCGTCTGAGCGCAGGTGGCACAGCCAAGGCTAGCAGCGAAGGGGGATCCAACAGGCATGGGGCTCCAGAGGGAATAAACAGGAGCGCTTACGGCCACGCAGGCCCAGTTCTGTGTGTCTGGGAAGCGCCTCACCATCTATGTTGTCCCAGTCACGATAACAGGCCACCCTGGTCTCAGGACCCAGCTGGCAAGGCCCCGCAGCGTCTCAGTTCAACCTCACACCAGGCCTCGGGTCAGCGAGCAGCCCCACCTCCACCACCCAGGTATGCATGAGCCCCCTCCGGGGGGCCCTCCACAGGAGCTGCGGGGGGTATGGGTGCCACAGCAGGGGTGGCAGTGGCATGTCCGACAGACATGCCGAGGACGCTCTCCAAGCCCTGGGTCCATAGAAAACATAAAAACTGACAAAGATTCATTTTAAGAATGTTTTTGTGTTAAAAATGTAATGAATGAAAAAAAACTACATTAACATTTTGCTCCCCCCTCCCCCCCCCCGCCGATTTCTCAAAGATTGTTTCTTAAACTTCCACAGTAAGCGTCTATGTGAAACCGTGTACGGTGTTCAGTTGTGACTGTCACGTTCCTGGTGCACCGAAGACAGACGCTCAGGCGCCCCAACCCGGGGACAGGCAAGGTGCTGTCCGTCCACCTCAGGCCCTCCCTGCATGCTCGGTCCTCGTCTCTTATTCGACTGCCAGAATTCTGGCCGCAGAAGGTCTTTGCCAAGGGGCTACCTAGGCAAGGGCACTGAGTGCAGAAGAGAACGAGCCAAGGAAGAACACGGGAAAGGAGGAAGGCCCTGCTCCACCCCCACCCCGCACTGCACTGCACTGCACTGCGGCCTCAAGAGAAAGGAAGCCTGGTGAGCCCTGAGCCCCCTGCCCCGTCCAATGGCCCCTGGTGAAGATCAGACCCCAAGTCCGTGGGGACAGAGGCGTCTCATTCATCCTGTGTCTGGCACATGGTGGGTGGTGCTCAGCAAATGTTTATTGAATTCTAAGCTGAGTTGGCTCTCTGAAATGTAGCTGAGCAGTACAATAAAGTTTGCGAAGACTCTGATCATCTTAAGCATCCAAGTTCTCTTGTGCTGCCTCCGGGGCCACAGAAGGGCCTGAGAGTGAGCAGTCAACAACCTGGGCACCTGGACACCAGGGAAGTTCGGAGTATTCAGATACAGGACCAGGCTGCAGGGAAAATGCCCCTCACTGCACATACACTACATATTTTCCTTGAAGCTGTGGGAAGGACCCTGACAAGTTCCCAGTAAGCAAGGGATTACAGAAAGAAACTTGACAACACTCGTTATTATAAGTTAACACACATCTGAAGTTATTACTAGTCTGTTCATGTTGTGTCTTTGTTGTTGAACCTAAAATTAGGATTACTCCTGCATCCAATCCCTTTAGCTCTACTTCTTTCACGAGGGTTAAAGTTTGCAAACCAAGAATTATTTTCATGTAGTATCAAATAAGACTGCCTGGCCTGAGTTTACAAAAGATTTCTTCCTATATTTTCTTCTTTTAAAACCTCAAGAGTTTAGTTCTTAAATTTAGGCCTAGGATCTACTTTGAGTTCACTCTGGTAGATGATGTAAGGGTTCAACTGCCTTCTTTTGCATGAGGACGTCCAGTTTGCCGGCACCATTTGCCGAAAAACAATTCTTTCCTCATCAAGCTGTCTCGGCACGGCTGCTGAAAACCATCTGATCCTCGACGTGAGGGTTTATTTCTGGACTTCTACTTCTAGTCCACTGATGTGGGTGTCCTGCCTTCGGCCAGGACTGTACCATCTCCATCACTGCAGGCTGTGGTAAGCTTTGAAATCAGGAAGTAGGAGTCTTCCGACATCATTCTCTCTCAAGACTGTTTTGGTTGGGTCCTTCCCGTCTCCATGTGAATTTCGGGATTAGCTCGTCAACTTCTACAAACAGGCCGCCTGACTTCCCACCCAGAGGTGCACGGACCTTCTCTCGCTCCTGTGTGCAGCCGTCCACACACCCGGGGGAGTGGCGTCAAATTCCGGGTGACACTAAAATGCTTTCTGCCCTGCTTGGTGAAAAAACCCACAGCAGGAACAAGAAGAGGTCCAAGAAGTTCCAAAATGGAAGGAAATCGGCACCTAGTTCCGGTAATTTTGGTGATCTTGCAATCCACAGATAAAAATTAAAAGCACAAAAGCTTCTTTATGGAAAAAAAAACAAGCATAAAAGGCTCTGAATACAGGAGAGTGGCATAGTAACTGAAAAACCAAGTAATTTCCAGGAATCTGAGATCTTTTTTTTTTAACCAAAATCATCGGAATCACGCCTGCCAACCAAGCCAACAGTAGAGCGTGATGCTAACGCTCAGGCTTGGGAGTCAGGCAGACGGAGGCGTGAGCCGTAGCTCTGCCACCTACCGAGACCTTGGGCGTGTGATGCAGCCTCTCGCTGATAACAGGACAGTTACGGGACGTGCCCAGCAGGGGACGGTGGAGTCTGTGCACTGGCGGGCATACAGGACCAAGCATAGCACCCAAGTCCGGGGCTCAGTGGCCTGTGGCCACAGAGGCATCTAAAGGAACGTTCCAGGCTCCAGCTGCCTCTACTGTCCTGTCAGCACATAGTGTTTGCCAGCGTTTGCGTCAAGCAGATATTTCAAATGAAATCTGCTTCCTAAATGCCACGGAGACAACCAAGCTCATGTGTGTGCCTGTACACTCACGCATGTGTGTGGCAGGAAGTGACCAGCAGAGATAAAATCTTTCGTGTTACCAGAGAACTAGGAAAACAGAGCACACAGCAATTCCTAGTCATCTGGATCCACGAAGACCTTCCTCTCTTGCTTCTGCAGCATTAATGTAATTACACTCAAATAAGCAAATGTGAAATAAATTAAAAACATTTTTCAGTGGCCACACTTAGAGACCAGTAAACTCTACAAGACATGAGAAAATAATTTAACGAAACTTCCAAGAGAGAAACATTAACAGGAAGGCGACTGTCAATACCCACACCAGGACAGGTTTCTAAATTACCAAAATCATCCTCCAACAACAGGAGCGTTAGATCTTTGATTATAGTACCACAAGTCCCTGAGGCTCTCTGTTCTCCACCTACTGCAGCCCCCCTGCCCCAGTCTGCTTTGTTGGGCAATTTCTATTGTTCTACCTTCAGGTTTACTAGTTCTTTCCTCTGTTGTCTCCGTTCTGCTGGGGAGTCCTTCCAGAGACTCACCTCAGTTATTTTAGTTCTAAAATTTTTATTTGATTCTCCTTTATAGCTTCCACATCTTTGCTAAACCTTTCAATGTCTTCACTGAGACTTTTAATTACTCTTGTATTTCACATGTGCTAGCAACTGATCATGGAAGCATTTTTGTGATGGCTGCTTTAAGACCTCCACCCTGTAATTCTAACATCTGCGTCACCTTGCCATTGGCACATGTTGATGTTTCCATTCATGTTGCTTTTCCTGGTTCCTGGCGGGACCAGAGGTTTTCAGTAGTGTCTGTGGTGGTGTCCTCTGGCTCATCTTCCTGGCTGGTGTGCCACCTCCTTTCCACCCTTTGGGTCTCCTTACGTTGGTTTTATGCATAATGTCCACGGTTTTAGCTACGCCTCACAGGAGGAACAGGGAGACGTGTGTCTATTCCGCCTTATCTAGAACTGGAAACATTCCAGGTGGTTTTCTAAAAGGCAATGCTCTTTACCTGATGCCACTAACAAGCCTGGACAGGGGCTCCTGCGTGGCTCAGCTGGTTAAGCGTCAACTCTTGATTTCATCTCCGGTCACGATCTCACAGTTTGTGGGTTCGAGCCCTGTGCCGGGCTCTGCACTGACAGTGTGTGGAACCTGCTTGGGATTCTCTCTCCTTCTCTACGCCTCCGCTAGTCACGTGTTCTCCCTCCCTCTCTCAAAATAATGAGTAAACTTAACAAAACAAAATAAAAGGAACAAGTCCAGATGACGGGAGGAACGTCAAGTGGAATACTGTTCCCCACGAGTTCAGTCTCATGTCCACAGTCCTGACATGCTGGGCAAGGAGAGACCACCCTCCCGACTTCACACAACTTACTGTCTTACCCGGAATGTTCTTCCTTCTCTTCTCCACTTCCTCCTTCAAAAACACACCCAAGAACCACCTCCTTGGGGACCTCTCCCCACTCCTTTCGCTCACAGAATTCTCTCCCTTCTCTGCATCATCATCTATTTTTCTTGAGGGAAGGGGACATGCTTCACATGTGCTGTCGGCCTACGGGCTGGATACAGAGGGTGCTGTCAAACGTGGGCTCGGAGAACTCTCCTGCGTATCAGAAACAGAAAGGATGCCAGAAGTATCTAACTAATCCAAGCCCTAAGTCTGTACCTGAGGAAAATGAGATTCTTCACGTACAGCAGGAACAGAGAGATCACACAAGTCCCAAAGGAACACAAGAAAGAGAAGAATAACAGGGTGTGTAAGCCCCTATCTCTCGCATAATTAACAACTAATCACTTTATTTACACATCATTAGGGGCAATGATTGCCTTGCCCAGAGAATAGTTTCCAGTGTTGGAGAAGAAAACGTGGTTATTAGTTTAAGATATGATGTTTTGCTCTGGACATCAGAGCCCACTCCCCTGATCCCACTTGGGGCCTGCAGACTGCATTGGGCTGCGGACAGCCAGTCCCGGGACTTTAACGCTGGTCACTCCCCACCTTCCCCCTGGAAGCCGTGTGGCCTGAAAATTCCTGGTCTTTCATCCTCTCTCACTGTTCACTGCCTGTTTCCACAGGAACATTAGAAACACAACCACAAACTAACATGGAGACCATGTAAAGAGATAGAAGAGCATGAAACTGCAGAAGAGAGCCCCCGCAGACTTGACAGACGTCACTGAGCACGTGGCCTTGGGGGCCACCAGCTCCCCTGTGAGCTCCTGGGAGAGAGTCGACTCCCTGGTTAGCGTCCACCTCCCCAGCCTCCTCCAGCCCAGTGGCCATGGCACCCCGGTTATCTTCTCTGCACTTGTATCTGACGTTGCCGCGCTGTCCGCCCACCCCGCTGCGGCCGAGCCCCTGCATCCACACGTCCGCTCCGGACGGCGGGGACGGGGTCCTGTTCATCATCACGACTCCACTCACAGCGAAGCTCAGGATTTACTGAATGAAGGAAAGCAGGAAGGAATGTGCCGCATTTTCTGTGCTTGGCTGCTCTGACCCTAATGTGCGTCCCCTGCACCACCAGCACCCTGGAGACCCTGGTGACAACACACAGATGGCCCACTGGGGTCGGCGGCCACCGTGGAGGCGTCTTAGCCAGTGACGTCAGGTGCGTGTGGTACCGGGCCGCTGGAGCACGCCTCCCGCTCTCACTGGCAGGGGGGCACAGCCTCCTTGGTCCTGGGGCCCTTGCAGGGCCTGGGTTTAAACTGGGGGTGAGGGTGGGGGAGCGGGCACGGCCAGAGCTCGGCCGAGAATGTGCGCTTGCTGACACGAAGACGGTGCAGCGCAAGACAGTACCGAAGAAGGCCACAGACGGGCAGAGGGGAAGGAAAATGGCTACAGGGCTGTCAGAGGCCCGTACACTGGCCCAACATGCCACAGGGTAGGGGACAGCACCGGCCCTCTCTCACACATGATGCACTGCAGAACCCCAGATCACCCCCAGGCGCCCCTCGAGAGCCCGTCACAGCAGACTCTGCAGCCGTGCTGTCCACGTGGCCGATGGGACTGAAGAAATTAATCTTTTATTTAATTTAAACATAAATAGCAACCGGTGGCCAGTGGCCACCGCACTGCCCAGTGCGGACAGCGTGTTTCCGTCACCGTGGACGCTCCTGGTGGCCAGCGTTGCTCCACGGCAGACGGAGGCCACAGGGACGTGTGTTCTCTTATCCACGACACGTATGACTTCATTTCTGCAAATTCCTAGATCAGACTCACCTGCATCTCACCTAAGAGGGAGGAGGTTGTCATTCAAAGCAAAGGCACACGTCAGCGCCACCCACTACCCGAGGTCACCCACTCCACCATCATGGACGCGGGGACCAGCTATACTCACACTGAACACCTGGACGTCCTTCCTGCTTCTTATCTCTTCCACGAGGGCCAGCGGCTTTCCCTTAGGCACCGGGATTGTGCCCAGGACCACCGTCCCCGGCGCAGACAGCGTCTGACGCACGGCCTGGATGAACGGCTGACTGAAGAGCTCCATTTTCCCAATCTCATCGATGACACACACTCTCCGCCCCAGGCCGCCGCTGGGACCTGCCTGAGGATGACAAAGACGTCACGGTCACCTGAGGCAAAGGGCCCAGGGGTCCCGTTCCCCAGTCACTCACCAGCTAAGTCATCCCAAGGCGGGCCAGCTAAGCTCTGGAAGGCATAAGACCGTCTCCCAGTCTCCAGGGGACACTTAACGGGCTAACAATCTGGGAGAGCTCCCTTGGAAACAGGAGCAACGAGAAAATTCGGCTCCCTGAGCCAGCCAGGTCCCCAGTAATTTCCTCTCTTCTAGAGTGGTTCCAATAATAATATCCAAGCCCTGTAGGGGCGCCTGGGGGGCTCAGTCGGTTATGCGACTGACTTCAGCTCAGGTCACGATCTCACAGTTCGTGGGTTTGAGCCCCGCGTCGGGCTCTGCGCTGACAGCTCAGAGCCTGGAGCTGCTTCTGATTCTGTATCTCCCTCTCTCTCTGACCCTCCCCTGCTCATGCTATCTCTTTCTCAGAAATAAAATAAACAAACATCCAAGCCCTGTATTTACAGACACCCAGGAAGTAAGCAGCACCCTTGTGCCTCGGGTTTAAACGAAAGGAGACAGCAAGCTGGGAGCCCTTGTAAACCCTACTGGCCTCTTTTCTTCCCATTTTGAGTTGCGGGAGATTCACCACCGAGAGCTCACTGACATTATTTAAGCTTCCGCACACAGATATCTGGACACACACCCGTACGTTATGTTATACCAACCGGAAATGTTCACTTTCAAACCTCAGTTTATAGAAAATCCTCATTCTGTCTAGAATCAGGGACTTTTATTATCCAGAAACTATAAGAACCTCAAAAGTAGGTCTGGGAGTTTTGATGAAAATATGTTAAGTTATTCATGCTCGACTGAAGCCTATAAACACTGTTTTTTCTAAATAACACATGAACATTTATTCAACACTGTAATAAAGGAACCAGATCACATTCACAATTTTTTTTTAAATATAAATTCAAGCAACTTTAGAGGGAAACAAGAACAAGCCAGTGAGCATACATTACCCTGTGTACATTGTTCTAAAAGCCTGCCGGCAGCAGGGCCCAGGTCTGAAGACTGCCAGGAGCCTCCCCGGCCCGCCGCAGCCCACCGCAGCCCTCCCCAGCCCTCCCAGCTCGGCTGCGGGGAAGTAATAATGGGCCCCCGGAGCACCATCCCTGATGGTGTGGAGTAAGGAGCTCATGAAGAACTTCAGGTGGCCTCACCCTGGGGTGTCTTTTTCCTTCTCACACCTTTTCTCTGCATAGGACCCACGAGGCGGCCCCTGCTCCACTCACCACCCCTCTCCCCTGTGCCACTCACCACCCCTCTCCCCTCCACTCACCACCCCTCTCCCCTACTCACTACCCCTCTCCCCTCCACTTACCACCCCTCTCCCCCACTCACCACCCCTCTCCCCCACTCACCACCCCTCTCCCCCACTCAC